GGGTGGTTTGGCTGACGGACGGGTGGGGTGATGTTGAGCTAGGCGGCGATGACAACAAAGGCGGAGAGTAAGGGGCGCGTTGTCGAAAGAAAGGGTTTCGGTGAGGTGGAGAGGCGGGTGTGAGAGGGTTGCGATAGTTTGCAGAGAGTCAGTCGAGATGTGGGTGCGGCGAGTTATTAACTAGTTGGTTGGGATGGCGAGGTTGGAGATGTCTTTGAATATGGGGAGGGGGGTTGTTCAGTGTGTGTGTGTGTGTGTGTGTGTGTGTGTGGAAGAAGGCGAGAGGAGAGAGCGAGAGGTGGGCAATTGGACAGGGCGATTCTCCCTCATGGTGTGGCCGGCCATGGTCTGTGCTCGGAGGGACCCACTGTTTCGCGCGGTTTCACTGGCCGTGACAGCGCTGTGGAAGAGGGACTGTTGCCACCGCATCAGGCCCCATTGGCTCTAGCTTGTTGTCTGTGCTGTGCTGCCCCCTCGAGACGAGAGGAGAGAGACTGGCTGGTTGGACAAGATGGAGGCTGGAGGCTGGAGGCTGGAGGCTGCATTCGAACCTTGAGCACCGCTGCAGCACACAGAAAACAGCCGGGAGCACATGCGTCGAAAGAAGAAGAAAAAGGGCATCAGCATCTGGTCCAGAGTGCAGTCTCACGCAGTGGCAGTGAGGCAGTGGAACGCACTGCTGCTTCCTTTTCGCCATCCTCTCACCCTCTGTGCTCACACACGGGTGGGCGGGGAATATTGTATACCGTAGTAGGCAATGGGAGCGTGAACCCTGAAGGCCAGGGCGTGAGCGAGGCGTGAGCAGCAGAGATGGGCATGGGGCGGCCATTGTCAAACGACGCTTATGCGACGCAATCCACGCTAGAACCTGCCCGGCCCAGAGCCAGCTCACAGCCTCGATGGGCTTTGGGTGGGCTGGCAAGTGACCCCTCCTCCCCTCCTCCCCCCTCTCAGGAGCTGACCGCTTGACTGTCCTGACCTGCAGCGCCCGTCGTCCAGGGGAATGCATGCTTTGCACCCACACCCACACCACACCACACCAACCCAGTGACCGTGTGAGGGACTGCAGCGTAGGTACTACTCTGCAGTACAGTATGCGTGCATACAACAAAGAGGCTCGGCAAGGGCGGCCATGGCCAAACCTGTACCGAATCCCGACGGCTTCCACAGCTGATGAGAGGCACTGGGGGCCCTTTCCAAGCTCCAGTCCCGCCTGCTTCAGGGAAGCGCTAGTCATCGCCGCTCGGCTGCGCACGTCGACGGCCAACACCAGCGCCAACAACATGCTGCATCCACCGCCCACGGCTTCCCACCCCACCACCACCACCACCACCTCATCGTGGCCGACCGTCTCTCCGCCTTCTCCAAATCCTCACTACCCTCCCCCTTCTCCTGGCCGCCGCAGTCCGCCCGTCCTCCTTGGAATGCAGCGTTGCCCGTTGACAACCATAGTATGTGTGAAGGTCGTGTGACAGTAAAAAAACACTCCCCCCCCCAAACTTTCTCATCCATCTCTTCTTGATCCAAACAGCACGCATACATAACACATACTACACACAGCATCTACAACTGTCGTTCAACCGACATCAGGGTACCTACCTACAATACGGTACCTACTATGCATGCACGTCCAATATCTAGGCAGTGCTGGAGCCTGGCCTTCTAGTCCTCACCCATCAAAATGCGCCAGCTTCCGCGGCTTTTCCGGGCCTGGGAGTGGTGTGACGTTGAGAACAAGGGTCTGCCCACCAATCCCAAACAAACCTTCCCCCCCCCCCTAAAATAGCTCCGCCGCTATCGCTCGCTCGTTCCAGTCTCCAGCCGCGCGCACCCAAGCACATGGACACAGAGATCGTTTTGGTTGTGGTTATGGACGTGGCTGTGGTTGTGGCTATTGTTGTTGTTCCTATTCTCTGCTTTCTGCTTTCGACCATGTCCTCCTTTTACCCCCGCTTGCTGCCCGTGAGCAAGATTTCGTCATCGCTAGAGAGTAAAGCCTCCGCACCGGTGCAATGATTCATGGTACTGGTATCGGTACAGTACAATCATTGCCGCTACCGCTGCCGCTGCCGCTGCCGCCCCTGTCGCCGTCATGATGGAGTATCGTAGGGAGAGTAGATTCCATCTTTCGATCATCTCTCAGCCTTGCGCTGTGCATACGGCAGGGTCGGGTAGAGTAGAGTAGGGTACATATCAGTAGTGTGTACGGGTCCCTATTTGAACATACTGTAGGTACATAGCGTAGTGTACCAGAGCATTCTATCCTCACCCTCCCCTATCCCCCCATCTCCCCAACAAACTACATACTATACTACACCGCCCCTCCGCACTCAACCTTCGCCACACCCCCTCCACCCCCGAAACAACCCCTCCCCCCTCCCCCCTTCTTTACACTTTCTCCCCTCCACACAAAACAATGGACCCACCCCACCAACTTACCTAATAGGCGCTACACCTGCACACTCTATGCGCTTGAATTAGCTGGCAGGATGAGGGCAAAGCGAAGATGAGAAAGGGGATGGACAAGGAAGGGGAATGCGAATGCGAATGGAAAAAAATGCGAATGCGAATGGAAAAAAATGCGAATGCGAATGGAAAAAAATGGGAATGCGAATGGGAAAGGAAAAGAATGGGAAAGGGGACAGGGAAAGGAAGTGCCCGAATGCATGCATCGACGAGTTCTCGAGGCGTTGGGATGGGTGTGGTGAGGGTGAGGGTGAGGGTGGGGTGGCATGAGTTGCTGATCAAGTTCGTGTTTTAGTAGTTCGCGAACTTGCTGACGGCCAAATTGTTCGGTGAAGCTACGGAAGGAGTGTTTGAAGCTGTCGAGAGATTCGGCGAGATAGGATTCGGCGCTAATGGGACGCTCGTTGTATTGGACTTTGTATT